TTCAAGCAGGTAACTACAATGTAACGATAATTACAAACAGAAGGAGCTCATTAGTTTTTTTCAGAAAGCTAAACCCCATCAGCACCTGGTTATTATATTTCCTGTTCAGAACCACGCTTGTCAGGTCAGTAGCATATTTAGAGGAACTGTATGATTCCTGCCCCTTGGCATGCTGATAGTCAGAGAGGCTGAAGGCAGACTCCCTGGCATTGCTGGAGGAGGTCCAGATGAGTCGTGAGGGCTTCTCGTTACCGCAGAGTAGAGACTGAAGCTGACGAACCTGAAAAAGAATTGTTAACTTATTTAACACAGCAATTTTCCAGTGTTAGGGTATGGCTTTACAGTACTTTAAACCTGTGAGCTTATCTCAGCTTTCTCAGCCAGCCCTCCCTAGGCTAGCCAGAAGGAGACACTTCTCAGGTGTAACTTCAGGCCAGGGTGCACCAGGAACATTTAAAAGCAGCTGTCATTCTCTTCCACAGCTCAGTTGAGCACTTTGGAATTTCATACAGCCAAGCCTTAGTATTTACCCTAGACAGAGAATTACATATGATTTACCTCTATCTGATAGCTCACTAAAGTAACCTCAAAATTATATTAACCCTTGTAACAAAAGTCAACATTTTTTTGCTATTTAAACAAATCTCAAGGCCTTTGCCCTGTCATTCTCTATCTGTCAGGTTGCATCTCACATCAGAATCCAAACCTGTGAGAACCAATTCACCAGGACTGCCTGGACCCATCCCCACCCACATCAAACACCAGACCAAGGGCTCGACCCTCATATGCAGCCTCACCAGGATAAAGTGCCCGAAGAGGTTGGTAGTAAACACCTCCTGAAGTCCATCTCCAGTCAGCCTGTCCGTCTGGGTCATCATGCCTTCGGCAGTGGTCAGCATGTGAAGCACCTTCCTGGAAACCAAGGACAGGAATTAGCAAGGAACACTGCCAGGAGCCACCTACTTCAGACTGAGCCCCTACTTCAGTCCTTCAGAATTAACCCCTACCTCACAGGTTCCACACAGACTCTCTAGTTTCACCTTCAAGGGCTCTATCAATCCATGAAAAAAAAGATGGAAAAGTCCCAGCTCCTACTGTCTCAGTACTGACTAGACCAGAGGAAACTTGTCCCTTCCTTCACTTTAGCAGTAAAGTACCATTAAATAAAAAAGGCTTGCTCTTCCATTTCATGCTCAATTAACCAAATCAAGATCCAGCATGGAAGTAAGCCCTAGGGCCATGTCTAAAGCAGGCAAGGAAACCAGTTTGGCCTCTATGCTCAACACCCCAACAGCTGTATCACTCAACATAAGTCACTGTGCTCCCCAGCTCAGCTTCCCTGTGTTGCTGACAGAATAATGATGCTTTCACCAGCACCCACCATTAGCTTCAGAAAATACTGTGATCCACAGCTGTGAACAACTACAAAAACCTATAGTGGGATCAAAACAACAGTAAGAAGACTCAGTATGAGCAAACTTCACCTCCCCAGCAACACAGCAGCATTTCTCACACAGTGCCAGAGACTGCAGGCTTTGGGTGACCTCTTGCCCTTCCCCTACACCCAGTGGGCATCACACCGGAGATCAGAAGCAGCACTAGGTGCCTTGGACTACCCCAGCACTCCCCTCAGCTGCCAAGCCCACCCCAAACAAGACTGTGCATCCCATAGGGATGTGTTCTGTGTCACACTGGGGAAGGGAGACAGGGTCTTCAGCCCCAGACTCAAGGGCACATCTTCGCTGTGCCAGCACCCCAGGCTTCCCACAAGCCCCTGCTGGACCCTCCCACATCTCCTACCCAGTGAGCAGACCCTGCCAGAGGGCTTTGAAGTTCACTTGTGGGTTGGGCATGATCCCAGCATTGAGGTAGACGAAGTCCAGGCGCTGAAACCTGCATGGAGAAGAGCACAGGGGTAAGGGCTAGAGCGGGGACAGAAGGGTCCGGGGGGTTGGGCTACAGGCAGGAGGGGTCCGGTGGGACAGAGAACAGAGACCACCATACCTGCAGCGGAGCTCTTGGGCGGCACGCAGGACGGAACCCAGGTTGCTCAGGTCCACTTCCACGGTGGAGACCTGGGCGGCGGGGTGGGTGGCCAGGATAAGGTCCCGCGTGGCCTCGCTCTTCTGCACGCTGCGGCACGCGATGCACAGGTGGATGCGGCCATCCTCCTCCAGCAGCCGATGGCACAGCGCCAGCCCCACGCCGCTGCGGACGGGACGGGGTTAGACACAGGCAAGACAAAGGAAAGGAAAGCAAAGCAAGACAATCCAAACCAAACCCGGCCCGGCCCTCACCTGTTGGCCCCGGTCACTAGCACCACCCGCTCCATGTCTGTCCCGCGCCCTCCGCCCCCCCGCGCTATAACCGCTGTCCGCGCCGCGGCCCCGCCCCGCCTCACCGCCACCGCCAATCGGCGCGGGGAGAGGGGGCGTGGCCCGGCTCGCCCAGCCCTGCCCGCCAATCGGCGCTCGGTGAAGGGGCGGGGCCCGCACCGCCGGTGGCGTGATAGTGAGCCGAGCGCAGGGGGCGGGGCAACCCGGGGATACGCCCTCTGACCCCGCCCACAGGGCTGCTGGTCACGCCCACGCTGCGCGGGTCACGCCCACTTCTCCGAGCTGCCTCGGTTCCCCAGCTGCCCTTGCCTTGCCGTACCCTACCTTGCCTTGTCTTGCCCTGCTTTGCCTTGCCTTGCCTTGCCTTGCCTTGCTTTGCTTTGCCTTGCTTTGCCTTGCCTTGCCTTGCCTTGCCTTCTCGGCCAAGGGGAGCCCCCTCGTGCCCCGCAGCTGCCGCGGGGACGCCGTGCTCTGCCACGCCGTCCTATGCCACCGAGGGACGTTTTGCAGCCCAGCAGAAACGCCCCCGGGTCCCTGTTTTCGCCGGTGTTGCTGTGGCAGGGAGCGAGGTCTGGGCACGCAGGTCCCTCCCGGAAGACATCAGGTGCAGCGCTGCTCCTGGCGATGTCCCAGTTGGAGCAGGGGATGGACACACCAGCCCCCCAGACACCCCAACGTGCTCTCTGACACAGGGCCGTGCAGGGTGCCCAGGCATCGAGCCCGAGCGGTGGGACCTGCAGATGTGCCCCTGCCTGGCCAGTACTCCCAGCTCCCCGCTTGCTGAGGCAGGGCTGGGATGGGCCACAATGCACCCTGAGCAGGAGAAGGCATCCGAGGGGACAGGTAGAGGGATACCAAAGCCATGGCATGAACAAAGCCTGTCCTCGTCTTCGACACACTCAGCAAGGATGAGACCTCCTCTGCCACAGCCAGCAGGAGCACACGTGGGGAGATCAGCCAGTCCCTCTTCAGAGCACAGCCCACCATCCCTGCCCTCCCCTCTCCCACACCCACTGTCCTGCCTCAATCCCTGCTGGTGGAGTGTCCTGACATGGATGCTGAGCCTCAGAGCACCCTCCCTGTCACCCAAGGAGATGGACAACTGGTGTAGCTCAGCCAGCCAGTCTCTTGAGCATCCTTCCTCCATCCCTTAGGCTGTTACCTGTGTGCACTCCCCAGGCTCTTCCCACCCCACATCCCAGGCGCAGAGTGCAGCCCCAAAGCCCCCCAGCCCTGGGGGTGCCCATGGAGGAGGTGAGCTGAGCTGCCCTCGGAGGTCCCGCAAGCAAACCATGCAACCAGATTCACACACCAAATGTCTCTTCAGCGGGTTTGCCCCTACATATAGGTGCATCTACTGAATATATACATGCCTTAGCAATGGAATACTGGGAACTGTGCCACGCGTGACTGATGGTGCTGAACTAATGCATACAAAAGTATGGAGGGGTCCATGTGCCCTCTAAGTACAAAGTTCCTCCTGTCCAGCTGCAGGAGGGTCCAATTTTGGGGCATAGCCAGTAACCTGCCAGGGCTCCTGGAGGCACATGGCTTTGGCACCTGCCCAGTTTGCTCATGATGCTGCCAGATCCGGAAGGATGGATTGGTGCCACGCTGCTGTGGGAGGCTCAGGGTGGCAGAGTCCAGCCAGGTACGTCAGCTGAACTGTGATCCCAGGCTGAGAGCCAGGGAGAGCTGGAGCACCCTGCTCCATGCCCATGGGCTGTAGCAGGCATGGGCATCGGGCAGCAGCCAACGAAGCTCTGCTATGTGCCTTCCTCTCCTGACAGGTGAAGATGTGGGTTAACCCTGGGAGAGGAGGACCTGGAGATTTCCCCATGGAAGTGAAAGGTGCTGACATCCTGCTGCCAGTTGCCACACATCACCCCATAGGGTATCCAAAATGCATTTCATGGGCAATTGATCTGCTCTGGAGTGGCTGTGGTCCGTGAGGGGATGTCCCCCCGGTGATGCCTGCTCCTTCCTGGCTGACACAGAACAGCCACGGCTGAGCATGCTGCCTGCTCCAGCAGCAGGGTGAGGTGCTGGGAGTGGTTCAGGCTTCTCCCTGTGCATTTGGGGTCTGGCGGCCAGCAGTGACGGCGCTTCTGGCCTCTCCATGAGCCACGTCCAAAGTCCCAAATGTCCAGAGAGTGTTTCTTTTCACCCTGTAATTGCACAGCCCACTGAGAGCTGGTGGCAGCTCCCAGCTCCTCCTCAAACAGGTAGTGGCTGCTGGTCGGTCCCTGCTCCAGCAGGCACATATCCGCACACATCCCTTCCCCAGGCACCTACCCTCTGTGTGGGCTGAGAGCTTCCTCACAGAGAAAGTCCAGCTGCCCTTCCTCCCCTCCAGTCGGGGAAGAGAAGCCGCTCTGTCCTGGTCCTTGTCACCAAGAACATGCTGCGTCAATAAATAACCCTCATCCCAGCCCGCGCTGCTCCCGGGCCCAGGTCTGCAAGCAAGCGGGAGGTCTGAGTCGTCCCACGTCATGGCTCTCTTTGCTGTCCTTGGGGTTCTCCTCTGAGGCTTCACTGTACAATGAGAACAAGACTAGCTGCCCGGGGTTTATTGCTGAGTCCAAGTGAAGTGGCTTCAGTTTGCATATGGGGCTCCTCTGGGGGCGGGGAGGGATGGGGACCTGGCTTGGGGGAAGCCAAGGATCATTCTTCACTGGCTGACTCTTGGAGAAGGCGATGGATGTCCTGGAAGGAGGGACGATCCTTGGTGTCCCGTCTCCAGCAGCTGAGCATTAGCTTATAGACTCTGTCAGGGCACAGTGCAGGCTGGGGAAGGTAGGTCTGCAAAACAAACGGCAGAGATGGCAAAGGGAGAGAGTTACTGCCACAGAAACGAACATGCAAACTGCGCCTGGAGAGCCCCATTTCTTGGGGAGCCCATCTTTCCATGCCCCAGGGTGGGGGGCTGTGCCACTGTGTGCCCAGGGGCGAGGGGACCTCCAGAAGGCACAGTGAGAGGCCTGGGGACACCTGCTTCTGCCTCCCGGCCTGGCTGAGTGCTGAAGCAGAGTCAGCCAGCAAGTCGTGGCTCGGACTGTGTAAAGTTCAGAGCTTGCCATGCCAGGCCCTTCACCAGGGCTCCTTTCCAGAGGAGTTCCCATCCCATAACTGCCCCAAGCTCCCTATCTTGTCACCTTGAAGTCTCTCCCCAGGTCTCTGATGTTCCAGGCACAGTACTGCCTGTCCCATCCCATCCCATCCCATCCCATCCCATCCCATCCCATCCTGTCCCGTCCCATCCCATCCCATCCCATCCCATCCCATCCCATCCCATCCCATCCCATCCCATCCCTACCTGCCGGCCCTGGTCCCGGAAAAACTCGCCGGTGTTTTCAATGACCTGCTCGTCAGACATCTGGGAATAGGGCTGTTCCCGGCAGAGTGTGAAGGTCTCCCACAGTGTCACACCAAATGCCCACACATCACTGGCTGTTGTGAACTTGCCCTGGCCAGAGGGAGCAGAGTAGGGGTCAGGCATGGGCACTACTCCATCCTGCTCCATAAGCTCTCGGTCAGAGTTCAAAACCTCTTTCTGGTTGCTTCAGTTTCCAGATGTGGGCCTAGAGGGGTGTGTGGTCCCACAGACCTGCTTTCTGCCTGGGGCCAGAGCCTGGTGAGCTCCAGGTTTGGCTGGCAGTGACTGCACTGAGGGCTGGGGCTTGCCTAGGACCCAGCTCCCTTCAAAGGCAAAAAGCAACCCTGCTCCATCTTCCAGGTCTGACCATGGCCAGGAGAAAATGTCAGACATCCTGCTTAAAGGATGTCCTACCCTGGGACATCAAAAATGACCATAGTCTCCCCAGCCCACCATGAAAAGCTGCTACCACTCTTGCTTTTCACATGGACTGCAGGGAGCAGAGATCTCCCCATCCCTTCTGCACCCCCCCAGCCCAAGGAAACAAGACAGTGGGAATCCCCAGAGGCATGTCAGTGTCTGTCAGAGGAACCCAGTCCCTGTGTACCAGCAGGATGCTCTCCCAGGACATCCAGCGGATGGGGAGCACCGCCCGCCCCTGGATGCGGTAGTAGTCCCCGCTGTAGAGATTCCTGCTCATGCCAAAGTCGGCAATCTTGATGGTGTACTGCTTCCCCACCAGGCAGTTGCGTGTGGCCAGGTCTCGGTGCACGAAGTTGAGGGAGGAGAGGTACCTCATGCCGGAGGCTATTTGGGTGGCCATGAAACGCAGGTCACTGCCGGGAGGACAAGGGAGGGCTGAGGCGCTGGGAAGGATGGCAGCCAGGGGGTACACAGCCCTGAGCAGGGTGTCCCCCAGCCAGGCAGGGTGCTGGGAGCAAGCAGCCCTGCCCAACCCTGCCCGTCCCGGCAGCACTACCTGACGGTGGGCGCGTGGCCAGCGGGGGGGCCGCCTGCCTGCTGGCGGGACAGGAACTGGTTGAGGTCTCCATTCTCCATGTACTCAGTGATCATGCACAGCGGGTCATCTGTGATGCACACTGCCAGCAACCGGATGATGTTTGGGTCCTTCAGCCGCGACATGATCTTGATTTCCTTCAGAAAATCATTCCTTTCCGGAACAGAAACCACACGGATCGGATAGACAGACCCAGAGGGGCACAGAGGTGTGCACAGACTGGCCAAGCGTGCCACCCACCCACCCAAACCTCGTGGGACTGGACTCCCCTGGGACTGGAGGCCATGAGGAGGAGCTCAGGGCTGATCCACACATGGCTGCAGGGGAGCCTTGGCAGGTAAACAGGCACTGGGAGGCTGGTTAGGATCAAGAATCCTGACACTTGACAGCCCAGAATCCCCAGAGAGCTCAGACGTGGGGTCCTTGCAGCTGCACTGAGTGCCTGGCTACTGGAGGCAGGGATGCTTTCCGAGCTTCCCAGGTCTCCTGGTGCAGCTCTACGTGGGGGGCAATGCTGGGTGTGTGCACCGCCCAGCCCTGTACCTGGCATTCTTATTGGCGTCTGCTCGCAGCATCTTCACAGCCACCAGCACAGGGCGGTCAGAGCTGCCATCCAAGCCCTCCAGGGCAAAGTCCTTCCCTGTGAACTTCTCCATCCCCTCCACCTCACAGAGATGAACCTGGGGGAGCAAGAGGCAGCCATTACCTCTGCTGATTAACAGTGTCCCTCAGCCCCCGGGAGCTGGGAAGAGCTTTGCCTGAGCCCTGCTCAGAGCAGGTCCAGTCCCCACTCACCTCCCCAAACTGGCCTTCCCCCAGCTTCTCCTTGAAGGTCAGGAGCTTCCTGGGGAACTCCTCGACGGCCACATCCTTGCCGGAGAGCAGGTCCATGGTGAGGGCTGGCACTGAGTAGGTGTTGCTGCCCGTCACGCCCTGCAGGTTCACGATGTCGGCCTCAGCATAGTGCGGGACACCCTCTGGGACGCTGGCCTGGGACGGCTTCACAGGGCCACTGCAGCCTGGGGGGACACAGCGGGACCAGCCCTGCCATGGGTGTCCTGCCCTGCACCCTCTGCTGCCTGGGGGCTGCTCCCACTCTAGCTGCTGGCTTCTCCATCCCTGTCCTCCCCAGAGCCCCTGCACCTCCCCAGCACGGCTGGGTTCCTGCAAGAATCACAGGCTGCTCGACTCCTTCCCAGTCACTGACAAACACACTGATCCAGCCCTGAGCACCAGAGGAAAAGGGATCAGTGCCCGACCTCCAGATCACTCAGAAAGAGATACCAGAGCATCCAAAGGATGGTAGTGGACATCAGTGATGGCTCTCGGTCACAGGCTTTTTGTGACCTCCGCATGGGATGCACAGGACCTTTGTTGACCTCTCCCGTCAGTGCCAAAATGTTTGGAGATTGGCCAAAAGCTGGGGCTGGGGAGAGGGGCTGCAGCAGCCTCAGTGCGTGGTAGATGGCTCTGAGCATGCAGGATGTCCTGGCTCTCACCTGTGTCCTCCTCCCCAGAGGTGAACTCGGGCAGCTTGCGGATCAGGCGGGAGGGCTCCTGGTAATCAGGTCCCAGGGGGAATATGCGGTCGTAGGTGGAGCTGGACTCCTGCTCGCTGGAGGAGGAGGAGCGGTTGTGGTTGAACATGCTGGATTCGCTGGGCAGGGAGAGGCTGACGGTCATTTCGTCATCCAGCATCCTCCTTGATGCCTGTGAGAGGGGGGAAGGGAGCAGAGAGATGGGGTTCTCCACAGCATGGGCAGGATGGGGTCTCTTGTGTTCCATGGTGTCAGTGCTGCACCCAAATCTCTTCTCTGGTGCCCTGTCCCAGGGATTCAGCACCCACCTGGGTTTGTCCTCATGTTTCCCCCTTCTCTTTTCTGCCTCTATGGAGGAGAGTTTTGCTCCATCACTTCTGTGACTGCCCTTGGTTAGGTGGCAGCTGTGGTGAGACCCCCCCAGACTCCTCTTCCCCAGATCAGCTTCAGGACAGAGGGATGGACAAGCAGGCAGGCCCCAAAGTGACCACCCTGCTCAACTAAATCCCCTTGCTTGAGAGATGGGTACAAATCGCAACCTTCCTGAGGAGGAGAGGGGAGCATCAGCCCTTACATGGAGTCTGCTTTCTCTGTACTGAGCTTCCAGAAGAACCTGCCTAGGATGAGTCTGCTGTCCTGGAGCACCTCAGCAGCCACCCCGTGTTTGCCCACCTTCTCCAGCATCTTCTGCCAGAACTGCCGCCACAGGATGATGACAATGATGGCCACCAGGATGAAGATGATCGCCACGAGGCACCCGATCAGGATGCGCGTGTTGCTGTCATCTACCTTGAGCGTGGGGTCTGGCAGGAGAAGGGTACAGCAAGAGCTGGTCATACTGGCATGTTGGGAGACCCCCTGCCCCCCCAGAGCATCCCTCACCCATCACAGGGCGACACACTTTCGATGCCTTACCATAAGTGGTGGGGACCACGGGTGCCTCAGCAGGGGGCACTGAGTTGTTGTACATGGCTGCATCTGGCAAGGGAGCAGAGGAGAGCATCAGGGTGGAGGGTTGGGGTGCCCCACAGCCCCACTCTCTCCTTAACCCCTCCCCTCCCAGTAGGTCCCCATGGGACTCATGGCAATGGGTACCTGACTGGAAGGTGATCTCACTGAACATCATCCAGGTGTCAGCGAAGTAGTACTGGCACTTGATGGCACTGGCCATGCGGTGGAGCAGGGGCACGGTGACAAAGCGGGCGCTGGGGTTCACGTCATCCACAACCAGGACCGAGGAGATGGTGCTGGGCTCCCACTCGCTGGCATCGGCGCGGAAGTAGCACTGCACCTCCTTGAAGATCTTCACCCCTTTGGCGAACATGTTGTTGCAGTGGACCTGCGGGTCAGCCTGTCAGTGCGGCCACAGAGGGGGACGGGGGCAGGTGACAGGGCAGGGGGTGTGCAGACCTTCATGGCAGTGAAGTTCCTGATGCGGTCAAACTCGAAGGTGATCTCCACGTAGCCACCAGTGGTGCTCTCGTTGCGCCAGCCCACGTAGTCATAGCCCGGCCAGACATGGTACTCGTGGGTCTGCGTGAAGTCGTCCAGCCCCGACACCCCGTCCGTCAGCTGGCCCAGGCCCTCTGTCATGCTGGCACATGTGAGGGGGGAAGGGAGTGTGACTCTTGCCAACCCCACAAACCTGCCACCATCCAGCACTCCCCCAGCAGCTCTTCACAGCACCTGGGACACTCAGGAAGGGGTTTAGTTATTGATGTTCTCTCTGGAAAAGGCTGTGGGGTGCTGAAGGTGAGGTGCAGCTTGCGTAAATCCAAGGGGTGCTTGCCCCATCATACTGTCCCCCTGGTGATGTGCATCCTCCCCAAGCTGGCCATGTCCCCCACTTCAGGGAGACTCCAAGCATTTGCTTTGCTGAGGATCAGCCCATCAGCCTGACAATGCAGGGAAGAAGCAGCCCCAACCCCTCCTGCCCGTTGTGGTACCCAGTCCTCACCTGTACCCGAACGCCCCATCGTACACCGAGTCATTCAGGTAGATGACAGTGCCCCCGGGAAGGATGAGCTGCTGCCCGGCTGGTGCGTTGTAGGACACCAGCCCATCTGCAGGGAGGGGAGGGTGAGTAGGTGGACACCCTGCCAATACCAAAGCCCTGCCAGCCCCCAGAGGGACAGATAGACCCCACTGGGATGGCCAGCCCCTTCACTGGGCTCTGGGGACAGAGGAACAAGCACAAGACTGCACCACTCACCCAGCCAGACGCAGCCGTACAGCTCCACCCGCAGGCAGACGCTCATGGAGTGGTCAGTGACGGGGATGAATCGGACAAAGCGGGCAATGAGGGGCGGCTCCAGGTCCTTGAGGACAATGTCATAGGGGTTGGTGTTTCCATCCAGCACCTGGGGAGAGAGAAGCATGGTAGAGATGGGCAGGAGGAGCCTCCTCACTAACCACCCAGTGCAGCACTCACCCGCCTCCTCACCTGCTTCCCATGCCGGTTCCTCCAAGAGATCCAGCGGGTGCCATCTCGACTGTAGTTGATCTTATACATGGGGGCAAACTCATTGCCATGGCCCTCGGCGTGGCGCCCCTGGGTGCCCACCAGTGTGATGAAGTGCAGGGCGTGCAGGTCAATCTGCAGAAACTCCTTCAGGTCATTTGGCTCCACTGCAGTCTCAGGACACCAGGCTCCATCACCATCCTCCGAGTCCAGCCTGTGAACACACAGTGGAGGAGCTGTTTGCAGGAAGCCAAAGCCAGCCCCATGTCCCCCTTCTCCCCTCCGTGGCAGCCCAGACCCTGCCATGGCTGTTGCAGGAGGGTCCCCACACTCACCGGCCGTACTTGGCAGCTGTGGAGTCGGACCACTGGCTAGAGGCTGAGATGTCCTCGTCAGGGATGTGCCCGCCCGACATTCCCAAGGGGTACCGACACACCGCTGTAACGAGACCAGCAGGACACTGAGCGGGCACTTCCCCAGCCCAGATACGTGTTGAGAACGGCATGGGCTGGGGCACATCCACCACACGGCTGGCACTGCAGCCCCGGCACAGCACTCTCCATCTCCTTGGCTTACAGAGAGGACAAAGCAGGATGGTGTGGTCCTGCCAACGCAACACCTGCCTGAGCAAACGGAGCTGCTGGCCAGAAGTGGATGCCAGCCCAGCTCAAAGCGAAGCAGGAGCAAGGGGAGGCAGTGCTCCAGGGGCTAATAGGCACACCAGGCCCTGTCCCTGGAGATCCTGTCAGTCCTGCTGGCAGGCACCTCGGCTGCGGTAGAGAGCCTGTGAGCTGGCACCACTATCCACGTGCTCCTTGTTCTGGGGGAACCCCGAAAGCTCACTCCAGAGGCCACTCGTCCAAAAAACTCACCTGCAGCAACTGTGCCATGCTGCCCTGCTGCTCCCCCCCACCTGCCTTGGGGAACAAGTGACAAAGGCGAGCACTCGGCTTCCATGCTGACCCCTCAGTTCCTATCACCAGCTCTGCTCCCACCCTGGCTGCGAGTGGAAAAGTACCCGGTGTGGCAGGCAGGCTGCGTCCCCGAGTGGCAGCCGGCTCCCCCCGGCACCACATCCACGCTGCTTCCCAGGAGTTATTTTTTCACGCCTGGCTGCCAAGAGCACTGCTGAAAGGCCGGCTTGTTTGGCTGTGTTTACTGTCTGGCCGCTGGCTCCAGCCCACTGCACTCCCTCCACACACCACCCCGAGCAAACACCCGCACCGGGGAGGCAGGGACCAGCAGGATGCTGTGCCCAAGCCGCCTCCTACCCCCGCGGCCTCCGGTTCTCCTGGTGCTGCACCAGCAAAGAACGTGCATCCCAGCGTGCTGCCATCCCCAGGACCATGCTCTGCATCAGACAGAGGGATGAGTGCATCTTCATCATGAGCACTGGCACAGTGGGAGCACCTCTTGTCTCCAGCTCTCCCACTTGTGATGCTCTGCAGCGCACAGCTCCCACCAAATTCTCATTTAATTCTTGCCGAACATGGAGCCAGCTCAGCTCCTTTGCCCAAGGTAATAAAAATCCTGGCCAGGCAAAACCAGTGCTGCCAGGCCTAGATGTCTGAAGGAGAAACAGGATTGCCTCCCTAAGTAAGCACCATGAAGCCTCTGGGGAAGACTCAGCAACCCCTTCCCATAGATGGAAGAAGAGTTTGAAGGGATTTGTTACAGGGATGACCCTGGGAAACCCTGGCATGCTGAAGGAGCCTGGGCTGTGTTCATCCCTGCAACACAGGATAGGGCTGAGCCCTGCAGAAACAGCCACCTAAACACACTTCTCCTGCTGACAGCCAGCACAGTGTTGTGGTTTCGAAGTAGAAGCCAGGCACCCAGTCAAGCCACTTCACTAAAGCCAGCCTTGGTTTGCTGCAAAACTACCAAAGAAAGCACAACACAGCAGCAGAAAACAATGCCCCGGCACCCGGCAGCCTCAAAACTGAGTGGGGTCAACGAGCCCCCAGTAGGGAAGAGCCCCACCCAGAACCCAGGGTTCCAGCTGCAGTGCTTTGCCTGTTCCCCAGTGTCCCACTAACTGATGGAGGTAGGACAGCACCCGTGGCACACAGAGGGAGCTCTCTGGGTCACTGCCCGTGGCCAAGCCATATGCAGGACAGCAGTGTGCCCAGGCAGGTACGGGCTTGGGGGGCCATCACATACTGCTCCCAGAGATGATGGAGATGAGCCCGAACTTGGACATCCTGGCAGGAGCACAGACCAGGGAAATGCCCCTCATGGCACCCACAGCCTGTCTCACTTACCAGGGTTGACCTGGGCTCTTGCAGCCTGCGGGACGTGCAGCAGCAGCAGCAGCAGCAGAGCTGGTCTGGGGGTGGCCGGCATGTTGGCAGTCCTGTGGAAACAGAGACAGGGCTCGTCACACTGAGGCAGCTGAGCCACGTGGAAATGTCAGCCCTGCTTGGGGCAGCCAGCTGAGAACGGGAGCACTTCCCCTGCATGAGCCCCCATGTCCCATCTCGGCCCAGAGGAGGTACAGAGCCCCAGACCTCAGATATGTGATGGTGGTCAAAGGGGTCCCGGTGTCCCATCCCCTCCACCACCATCCCTGGGAGCCATGGTACGCCAAATCCCTGGAGCTGGCCACATGTAGTGGCCACAGGACCCACATAAGCCTCCCAGGGCTCTGCTCTGACCCACACGAACCTCCCTGGGCTCTGCTTGGGGCCACTGCCATCCGGTTCCAGCGCCAGGCAGAAAGGCTCCGGCTGGGCCGCCCACCCTTGGACGGCTTTGAAAGCAAGAATTTGCACAACCCCATCATATAAGACAATAATAGCACGTTTCAACAGGCGGTTTCCCTGCCTGCTGGCTCTGGAGAGAGGAAAGCAGATACTCGCCCGAGATTTACAGCGTATTTATTGTGACAGCTCCCTGTGGCAGAGTGGATCTCAGGGACATGCATGACAGAGAAAGGTGTGACAGAGGGCATGGGAGCCAGCTTATACCCACTGCCTCGAGGGGAGCATGGGATGGAGCTGGAGGAGACTGGGGTCCTGGCAAAGGGGCTCAGGCTGCAGCAAGGGGAGAAAAAGTGACGGTGCTGGCAGGGCTCCTCCTCGGAGGGTACAGCCCACAGCACAGTGGGATCCCCCCAGGACATGCCTGCCTTTGTGTCAGCGCTTCCACCACAATCATCGATCTGGCTCTGGCCAGCTGCCAGGAATCCCCAGAGCCCGAGAAGCTCCCACTGCACCCACACACCTCTGGGGAACCACCATGGGGCTTGGCACCACACCAGGGGATGCACCAGGGACACCCCTATATGCCACCAGCCCTGCCCTAGGCTTCCTGGGCTTCTGCCCCTCCTCTTATTTGCCAAGGGGGCATTTCACAGAAGCACCAGATGCAGATTAGTCTTCTTTTTATTAAACAAGGCTATCTTAATCTAATTTACATGCACGTTAAACTTTAGAGAACAACTTACTAACCTGAGGGTTAAAGGGACCACAGTTCCTGGCCAAGTGGGACCTGGCTGCTGGGATAAATCCCACCCGAGCCCACTGCAACAGCAATGTCTGGGCTGGGCTGGCACATCCTCAAGGCCAGCCCAGCACCAGTGATCCCGCAGGTGGGTGCTTGGTTGTGTTCTTGCATCCGCCCCACACAGGGTCCCACAACCTTGTCCCCACCACCAAGAAAAACCCAAACCCAACCCAAACCATCTGCCACACATCAGATGCCTTTATCCCACAAAGTACAGCTGGGAGGTGCTGGATATGATTCCCTAGTAACTGCCAAAGCCAGGGTTTGGCAGAGCAGGAGCAAGACAGGGGTTTGCTGAGACCGTGCCAGCACCCAAGAGGAGTGTAAAACCCCAGAAGCTGCCACCTGCATCCTACTAGAGGCTCTCTGCACCCCACAGCATACTGCTGGATTCCTGGGGGACTCTGCTAAACACCACGAGCTCTGCAGTAGGCACAAATAAACACCTGCACTTGGAGTGATTCTTCCCCTTTTTTTTCAATTTTTTTTTTTAAATTTTTTTTAAAAGAACAATATGTTGTTTCTTTTTTTTCAGCTGGTAAATTTTAGCTAGTTGCAACTAACTCAGCTGCAACTGAGAATTTCAGCTGCATTGCCGAGAGGTACGCAGGAGGTTCCTGCGTTTGATGATGGCCAGTTCCCCCAAAATTAAAATCTCAATTTCCTTCTGCATTCCAAAAAATATCCAGGGATATTTTTTTCCCCACTATTCTTTCAGGCTGAGTAAACTCTTTAAGCATCAGGATACCAGATGCTGTAATCTCCTGCAGGGAATGCATTTACATTTAGTCTAATATAGGGAAATCATCCCCACGTAATCATTGGGAAGTCCTCATCGTTCCTCAGGGGAGTGGGGCTGAGGGACACTGGGGAGACAGTGGCTCAGGTGCTGAGGCTGGGGGCTCAGGGACACGTGGTCAAACTGGCCCAGTAGTACTGGCAACCCAGCTGGAAATCATTTCTGTTCCACCAGCCCTGCAAAAGGGGTGGCTTTGCAACGTTTTGACAGAAAATGTTTGCTGAAAATTTTCAATCACTGGAAATTTTTAGTGCAGAGAGTTTTTGGAGCTTCTCCCTGGCATCGCCTGGGCTTTGAGTTTCCCTTGGCCACTGCTTTTTGTTGTTTTGTTTTCCCTTTTTATTTCCCTCCTTTCTTATACTACTGAAATAACCAGGGAGAATTACCAGGGGAAAAAGTAAATCCACATTTGTTAAGAGACAAACCCCATCTGACCTGTGGTTCCTCTTGCCCTCCACTTATGCCAGCTGGTGAGATCCCCAGCTCGCTTCCCAGGTGGGCACTGCTGCCCATGCTGGCACTCCATCAACCATGGAGAGGGGCTGGATAGCAGCAGGTCCTGGACATGGGTCTCCCAGGACTGCCAGGGCTCCCGTTGCAACTCCCCATCCTTGCATGGGGATGGGGCTCCCCTCCTGCTGGGATGGCAGGACATGCCAGGGCCATGCTGTAGGGAATGTCCTTCCTGGAGCAGCAGTCTGTGACCCTAGCCCAAGACATGCAGTGTGTGGGTAAGGGGGTTCAGGATCCCCACCCCAGCTGGCACTACAGCCCCCAGCATGCTGTGCCACTGGTGCAGCCTTGGCAGGAGCACAGCGCAGCATGACGGGACCTGTAGTCCTCCACCCTTCCAAAAATAACATTTTAGACCTTCTCCAGGCTGGATGCAGCCCCACTTTCTTCAGCAGCAAGCGCCTCCCCAGCCACGGGCTGCCTGGCTCAGCCCGGGGCATCGCAGCCGTCCAGGGTGCGAGGAGCAACCGGCACATCCCCGTGGCTGCCAGCTGCCCTATGGAGACCTGCCAGGAGCACAGCCCATGGACAGGGGGCCTGGGGACACGGTGCTGTGGATGCTGTTGCAGCAAGCACTCCCCGCCAGCCGAAAACTTCCAGCCCTCCTCCACGCTCTGCGCCACGGTGCACAGCACTGCCCCGCCACAGCGCAGGGTCCACAGCATCGCTCCGACACAACGCGGGCTTGGGAAGCCACAAGTGAGTTCCCAGCACCAGGACGGGGCACGACGCTCAAAAGTACCAGACCAGTGGCCCTGTGTCCCCTCCCTGGTGTGACCTGGTGCCTGGCTGGGGGACAGCAGGGCCTCTCTGGCTGGCCAGCGCTGCCGCCGGCTCTGCCAACAGACACATAGGCGGGAGCTGAGGAGGGACATCAGGAAATGCTGGCCCGGCACGAAGCACAGGGGGAAACACTGGCAGTGGGGGGACAACTGGTGAGAAGTGGCCAAAAGTTATGTCCCAAAGCGAAACACCGCCCTGCTTCTGCCCCAGCCCCTTACCAGGTAGACCCACACCCCAGCCCCTCTGCCGAGGTTCCACCGCAGAGCACAGCTCGCCCCACATCCCACCAAAATCCCAAACCTACGAGGGGCACACGCCTCTCCAGCCTCTCCACGTACCCAAGAGCAACTCACCGGAGCGGGGAGGCGGCGGCAGGCGGGTGGGCTCCTCGCCCCTCGCCTGGGCCGGGGGAGCCAGGCGAGGAGCGAACTTCCCCGGGCTGATGCAAGATGCCTCTGGGAGCGTTTTTGCATTCTGCGGATTCCTGGGAGCCGTCCAGAAATCCCACAATCCTACATCTTGCACATTTGGTTTCAATTAGGGAGCGGAGAGGGGGAGCCAGTCAGCAATCCGGGCTGGCTTTTCGGCGGAGGTTATTTTCCTCGGCCCGAGGGAATGTGCGCAAAGCTATAATTTACAGCAAAACCCATTCATAGCGCAAGAGAAAAAATAAAAAGATCCGCGTGGCCGGCAGGGGAACTTAAAGCAATAGGCAGTGTTTTGCTTTCCGGCACTCGCCCCCGCGGCTGCAGGATGGCACGTGTGTCCAGGACCCTCCTCCTGCACCGTGGGTCCACGGGGGACACCCCCATAATGTGGGCAGTGGAGACACTCCATGAGACCCCATCACTGTCCCAGAAGGACCCACATGGACTACCCCTCTCCGGGCCCCTAGTGGGAAGGGTATCGGAGTCCTGCGCGGGCACGCACGGCCAGGACACCGGCCGGAGTGCCGACCTGCCTGGCACACGGCATGGAATCAGCGCTCCAACTCCCCGAGCTCCACGCTGAGGTGGCGGTTTTACATCATTTCCAGGCACTAGCTTGGCACTGCAGCCATTGACTATGCAACGCAGCAAGGAGAAAATAATAATAAAGGGCTCGCATTAATTTTTGTGCAATAGCAAAAACCACAATTAAAAAAAAAATTGAAAAGCAACTTTTTTTTTTTTTTCAGACTAGTGTTTTGGCTGTATTTTATGCCACTGCCACACTGTGGGAGGGAAGCATCACGCCTGGCAGTAGGCCAGTAGCTCCCTAAAAAGCTCTCCTGTCTTGCAGGACACCCCACAGCTCCAGGGCTGCAGGCTTGCTCCTAAACACAACCTCCTCACCATACTCCCAGCCTGTCTGCTCTCCAGACAGACCAACTGAGTCACAGGCAGGGTGAGCCATCCACTGCCCACAGCAGATTCTGGTGACCCTCACCACTGCTACCAGAGGGGCTGCAGTGCCAGCTGAGCCAGGGGTGCCCAGAGTTAGGGCACAGCTGCCTCCAGGCTGGCAGGGAGGGCAGGCAGGGAACGGGTGAGAGCAGTGCCTGCTGCAGGGCTCTGTAGTGTGGCCCCTTGTGCTGCCCCAGATCAGCTGGCAGGGAGAAGCACAGGCTGCCCTATGTGCACACCCACAGAAATGCCAGCCAGCTCTGCTCTGCTCCGCTCCCCTCCTGCTACCTGGAATCAGTACTCAAATAACTTGGCAGCAGCCAGTGCTGCGCTGCTCTGTCCCAGGACCTAACGCAAAGGTGGTGGTCTGCAGAGCCAGAAGCCAAAGCCTCGGCCACACACAGCCCAGACAGCCAGCGCAGAGCCACCAGCAGGCACAGCGCCAGCCGGGACCCCCCGCGTGGCCCTGGCTTCCCAGGCACACTGCCTGGGAAACTGAGTGCTTGGCTGAGCCTAGGATGCCCAACAGCCACCTTAGCACTCACAGGACTTAGTGACTTCCCCTGAGGGAGAGAGGTCTGGGTCCCATTCGCAGCCCTGCAAGGGAAAATTCCTCTCCAGGCAGCCAGGGGGCAGTGGGAGGTAGTGACCAACCACACCGGGGCTGTGATGGGACAGGATCAGGAGAGGAGCTGGCCAAGCTCCTTCTTTTCCCAAACAGGAGGCAGCACAGCTGCTCTGCCCGGAGGCATCAGGACGCCACACTCCACAGGAGTGTGCTGTGGAAGGAGTCCTCTCAGGAAAAGCAGAGGGCACACAGCGCTGCTGGAGGGCTCCATGCCAGGCTGGCTTCACCCTGAGCACTCTGGCAGTCCAGCACACCCGCCTGTTCCTACCTGCTCAAGGCTTGCCACTGTCGGCAGGAATACAAGAGGAAAGTGCAACTCTCAGCTTCCTCCAGAAATGCCCCAAACAAGCACTGCAGGCCAGAGGACCTGCCTGCAGCCACCCCAGGCAGCAACCCTTGCTGCACTGGCAGAGCACGTGGTATGATACAGTCAGCTCTCTACTCCATGAGCAGAGCCTCTGTGGAAATCATCGTCACTCAAACACCACCAGATGACAAACAGGAGGGACTCAGAGTTTAATTGGGTGCTTCCAGTTGTGCAACGTAGAAAGGATGACCAAAAGGAGGGACATGGGCAATGACAAGGACCCTATTAAAAAAAAATAGTCATGTAGATTTAAGAAAAATAAAAATTCAAGATTAATCCCAGCCCCGTACCATAAAAATCCTCTCTCTGCATGTACAATGAGTACTACTATATACATGTTTAAAAATAAATGCCCACAGCCTGGAGTGCAAAGAGCAGCACGCTATAGCTGTGCTTCTTGGCAGGGGAATCCATAAAGTGTTTGGTTTTTAAATTAAAATATAAATAGAAGCATACAACGTGCTGAGAACCAAGTGGGCCACGTCCTCCTCTGCACAGGGCTGGAGTGAGCAGGACCAGCCCCAACCAGTCACAGCTATAAACCTTCATGTGTCTGAGTTCCTGGTGGGATGGACAGCCCTGCTTGGGCACCCTGCTGCCACTACATCCCATTCTTCACCAGCTCGTGGATCCCATCCTCGTCAATAATCAGAGGTGCGCGAAACTCTCGGTCCTTCACGTACTTTTCCAGACCCTACAGGAAGACAAAGTGGCTCATTAGGAACACACCACGCGTCATCTGCTCTGCTGACCCACTGAGCTGCTCACAGGTGGCTCTGGTCCCCTCCTGGGCTAGCAGCTTGGAGGACACTGTCTCAAAAAGCCCCACAGTGAATTCAAGTCACACTTCCGTGGCTTATCCCCTCACGTGTGTGCCCTGCCAGCCCCTCCACCTGTCTAGTCCATCTGCAACGACCTCTTCAGCTCTGGAGAGTCAGTACTCACTTCTCCTCCATAGGACACGAGGGGAGAAATTTCACACTGGATTGGCAGGTCGTTTGCATCCTTCAAGCTGCAGAGAAAAAGCCAGGAGAGTTAGTTACATCCCACCAGGGGACATGGACGGGGCCCAAGATCTTGCTGATGCCAGGTGGGGGGTCAGCACAGAGCTGCCACCAGCACAGAGCTGCCCTGGGTTAGTCAAGCCTTGCGTGCTCTCCACAGAGGTGCAAGTGAAAGTTTAGATACCAGCAGCGACTGAAAGGGAAGAGAGCTTTAGATGTGGGTTTCATGATGCTTTTCCATGTGTGCAACTACGGCAGTGCCTGTGTCCCCAGCCCCACTATTTTTGATGCTGCATGCAAACTCCTTCCTCCTCCTCCTCCTGCACCCTTGGGGTGATGGCAGATGCACTCACGCAGCACCTTCCCATTTGCTGGCTATAACTGGTCTTTCTTTCAGCCCTCTCCTGCTTAAAGCACAGAGGACAGAGGGTAAGCCTGTCTGCTCGCTCAGAAATGCTCCCTGCAGCACTGTTTGCTCCTCCTGCCTTTGCCTCTTAGATCAACTGTTTCAGCTCCTTTGTTCTGCCTGTGCGCTGGCACTGGTGAGCAAAACATCAGAACACACCAGTACTGGCCACTGCAGCAGCACTGCTGGGCAGGGGGCTGTGTGGGGGCCCCAAGGCTGCTCCTGCTGTCACTAGCCTTCGTAGGACCCCCTCCCAGATACTCCCCGGATCCAGCTCATGTATAAGTCTGGATAGGGGATGCATCCACGTGGAGCCAACAAGGAGCCACAGCAGCACCCCAGGGTGCCTCTTCCCAGCCACTCACCATGGCAGCCAGGCAGGCATGGCAGGATGTCATCCATGACAATGCTCCCTTCACTTTGGTTAAAGCTCATCCCTGGTGCCACGCACTCACTCAGCACCCCTCCTGTCCCAGCTGTAAATAAAACTCACCCATCCTAACCCAGCCCTCATACTTGTGTTTGCCTTGGGAGTTGGATTCCAGATAATTGTTAAAAAAAAAAAAAAATTGACATCAACTGGCAATGAAGAGTAAATGTAGCATAAAGTGCATCCTTCTTCCTATGTTATAACTAGTGTGATGGCCCAGTCATAAGCCTGTAAACACTTGGAATCTGGAATTAAAACAGAGATCCTAGGAATATCTCACCAGAAAGTACTATAAGATACAACTTCTGATGCGGGGGAAGGTAACAAGCTTGCTTAGAGCTGGTGAATGACTCGCAGACCAAGTCCCAGACACCCCACCTGCCCCGTGCCTACAGAACATGCTGCTGTTAACAGAAGTGTTAAAGCTCTCCCGTGTATTCCTGTAAACTTTCAGGCGCTGAGCCAGGGGCTTTTCCTGGTGTCATGGTCTGGATGTACCAACCTTAAGAGCTGAAGTCACACAAAGCACAGCTGGCCGCTGTGCTGTGATTCACACATGCTACATCAAAGCCTGCTTGACGTTAACTCAACGCTTTCAATCCCGTTTCCATCTGCCGGGACGCCTGGCGGACATTGGGAGACAGCAGCCATCTCCAGCACTGGGACCGGCCGGGACCAGTCCAGCCTGTGCTGTGCCATGGTGTGATTAACAGGGGGGTGTCATCGAAGGGACGTGCCAGCATGTTTCCCAACAGCATCCCGCCTGTGGGGTGTCCTCTGGGGGCCGTGGGCAGTCAGCATCAGGCTGCTGCCACCCCGCATCCGCACCAGCAGCACAAGTCCCATCCAGTCACCCCCGCTGGCTGCCCCTGCGGAAAGGAGCCTAGGAGGGAGCAGACGCTGCCTACTGCCCGCCACCATGAGAAGCAGCATCCACGGGGACGAGCTGTGGGACGTGCCCCGCTCCCAGCATGCGGCCCAGAGCTCCCCGGCCCCGTTAGTGGCTGTGGGCACCTGTCCCAGCGCGCACCCACAGCCTGGCCTACAGCCCATTAGTTCCTAAGCACAGCCCCACCACCATGCAAGCTGCACGGTATAGTTACTTGTCTTTGACATCTGCTGGCGTGGCAGCGGACCTTCCGTTTGGGATGCTACATGGGAATAGACAAGGGTTAGCAAGGCAGGGAAAAAACACAGCAGAACAAGTC